GAAAGAAACAGGTGAATTTTTAAACAACCCATTTTGGAATCATTTGAGCTCCACAAAACATTTTCACTTATTTGTATCGTTTTTAAGCACTCAATTTGTATCTGTCTACGATTTGAGAGTAGTTTGAGGTAAGGTCGATGCCACTGACTTTACCGATTGAGTGTTGATTAATCACAACGAACTATTGTGACAGAGCACGGACTTGAGGTAACTGGATAATCTAGGTTCTTTAAAGGATTATATCCGACAAATCAAAATTTGACCAAGCCCACCTTTTTAACTACAAATAACCTAGCATGGTAACAAACGTACAATACATAACTTATGATGGCCCAACTGAACTCCAATATCCACTTGGATCCTAATTATCTCTTTTTGTAAGTTTTCCGAAGCCAAACAATAGTGTTTCTCTTTTCAAATAAATAAAAAGGGTACCATGTTACAATGCTGCTCAAAATGTTACACCTATCTGCAGAAAGTGGGGGATGTTACTATCCAATACACTTCTATTGCGACTGTGTGACAACAATGTGACGTAAAAGTCAAAAGCAAAAAGGGTTCTCTGAGAAGTTTGGTCTGATTCAGACATTTTAATAAAGTAAATTATCATTGCAGTTTAATTTCAATCGATAATTATTTCCTTTCTTTTGGCATCAAACTTTAAAAACGTCAAGTTCAGGTAAGTACCGAAAGAGCTACAGAAAAGTTCAGAACTTTGAGAGTTTTAAGGGTGAATTCCGAAAACTACTCTTGTTAAATGAACTGCAGGAAAATTTCGTGAACTTAAATGAAGAACAGAGAGCTTCACGACAGTTCTATTAATTGCAAGAAACTTAACGGAAGTTCCAAAATCTTCAGAAAAAATTTGAAAACCTAACGACTGTTCAATTAACTTCAGAAAAAAATACGGGAGCTCTAGAGATTTTTCAAGAATAAAGTCCATAAGCTTCAAAGAAGTAGGAAATCCCATGAAGGTCAGAAATTTATTGGAATTTTTAAGAATATAAAGGATGTTTATAAAACTTGATTGTAGTTCCGAAAACTTCAAGAACGTCCAGAACTACGGGCAAGTTTGTTTTCAGATAAGTTTTGATAGCTTCAGGGCAGTTCGATAGATTTCAGAGAAGTTTATATAAATCCAGTGAAGGCCAAAATGGCAGAAACTTAACAGAAGTTACCTAAGCTTAAGTTGAGTTAAAATATGTTAATGGAAGATAAGTAGCTTCGAATTAGCAGCACCGATGGTGTACTAGTGATCGTGACAGCTTATCACTCCAAAGAGTGTGGGTTCAATCCCAATCGGCGCCGTCGGGATTTACTGAGGCATAATATCTCTGATAAAGCCTTCCCTCGGAAAGCAACTAAAGGCAGACTAAAAGTAAATTGGTACGCACAAAAATACCTGTAATTCGGGATTCAATAAGTTAAAAAAGTCCATTAATGGTGGCTTTGCAGCATTTTTATTAAAACTTCAAAGTTACAATATTAGATGGTTATATTTCTCTGTTCTAACGAAATCTCGAACCTTCCTCTTGATGGAGCCCACACAGTGGAAACGGACACGGATTCAGCGCAATTCTTCCATTTTGCCCGCATTTGCTGGATGTCCTTGAAGGCCTCGCCGCTTCGTCGAAGTCGCTGAAATTGCTCAGTATTTTTCGATTGGTCGAAATTCCGGGAGGATTCATTAACTTGGGGGCAAAATCGCCCCTATGCTTGAGGATGAACGATAATACATGCTTTTTCAGATATTCTTCAATGTAAACTTGGGATTCCATCGTCTAGTATGTGACGAATGGTTCCATTTTCAGACCACAACTGCAAATCGCTTGCCAAATCATGTCCTTCTTCGCGAACTTGTCGGCAAACACGAACTTGATTCTTCCCGGCACATCCCCACGTTCAGTCATGATGTAAAACTTTTGACCGGGAAGCTGCTTAAAATCGAGTTTGACGTATGTTTCGTCATTGATCAAAGTGCAGCCCTTGTGTTCCGTCAAAACACGGTCGTACAAGAGCCTTGCACGGTTTTTGACCACGGAATTCTGCTTCATGTGCCGGTTCGGATGTTTACTGGCTTTGTACGACTTGTATCCTTCCCTGGCAATGATGGCCACAGCTCGGATCGAAATACCGGGGTTGGCTTTAACACACCTCACCATCTTGCTGCGCAGCTGACGATCCCTGGTTCCAGTTTTTTCGTCGGTCCGCTAATTCCTTTCCACACTCAGGGTTTCCTTGTAGGTTTTGAACACTCGATGAACTGTTGTTTTCGGACCACTCCGGATTTTCCAGGTGTGCAATATTTTTCCACCTTTCCAGTTCCATTTGACGTTATTTTAAACGCTATCGACTACTTTGATCAAACTTGCACCAGGTGTTCTCTATAGAAGTGTAAACAAACCTCTGTAAAAGATTTTCGATTCCCATCACTAGAGGCATGCTAGCGGCGCGCGAGGGGCGTACCAATTTACTTTCAGTCTTAAAGGCTGACTGACCGTTGGTCCCCGGTGTGAGAGCTGCCTCCCTGGCGTCGGTAGCGGTGGTACTCAGGCTGTGAACCATTTGCCGAGTTAAATTTAACTCGTGGTTCAAAGTGACATTTCGAAAGTTATTCTGTATGTTCGAAAATCCCTGTGTTGTCCATCGACCGGTTTTCAAGAAGAACTCAGCCACGGTTGTCAAAATTTAACTTCTTGTCTGTCATAAATAACCACGTTCGGATAGCAGGGTTAATCGATAACTTTCCATCTGTCAAATTTAACCAAAAGTTAAAAAAAATCCACCAAATGGTTCAGAGCCTCACTACGGAAAACAAGAGAGATGGAAAACAAATCAAACAAAAAAAAAGTAGAAGAGTCTGTGCAGGGGGCACGAACGGAAGCTTAACTTAGGACGGCTAGTGGATGGAACAAATATGTTAAGCATTTAGTTCTTTTAAATGATCGATAATCTATTATTGGTGGCCCTGAAAAGGGTCAGTTGTTTTTCGAAGGACCGTTATTTGTTTTTTCTGGTGTCCATTAGATCGTTTGGGACGGCTACCATGTGGCTGATAAAAAAATAGTGATTTTTGATACCTGTAATTTTAAAAATTTGTTTGTGACATTAAATTCTGCATGATGATATTACTACTAACCTATATCAGTAAGTATAGGTAAGAGAAATAGCTGGTGAAAGTTTTACGGTGGATCTCATGACACATCTGTGGCCGATCAGAAGTGATGCAACGTTTTTACTACGGGCTGGAGCCTTTCTGGTTGCAAGCAATTTATAGTATTCACGCCAGACCAAGACGTGCTCCAGCCAGCATTGAATTGGATTGTTGTGAAAGAACAACTAGCGCTACTTGGTTCTTTCACACCAGTGCAAGTCGATGCCGACCGGATGACGGCGGCCCAGTCATGCTGCCTATTGCTGGAAACCTTTCCTCCTGTCAATGTGGGTGCATTCGTCGTCGTCTTCGTATTGGTGCAATGCGTGCTGTTCCACTCATACTGCTGGAGAGTAAATGACGATGAAAACGATTTGGCAAGCGTTTTTATTACCGCTGCTTTTCTCCTCCCTTGCTTTGATTGGTGAAAGGGTGAGCGGTCAACCGGTGTGAGCATGCGCAATATGTCGTATGTTAAATTTATGCACTATCGTTACGTCTGTGTTTGGGATTTTTCTTTACATGTCAGAATTTTGATTTTTTTTAATATGAATCCCAGTATAAATTAAAGACGTAGTCCTACGTCAAAACATAGCGTCGAACAGTTGTTAGAAGTTTCAAAAATTACAGAGAATATCAGGGAAGTTTAGGGAACTTAAGACAAATTTCGGAAACTTCACTGAAGGTGCAGGAAACGTCGCGAAGTTTAGAGATCCTTGGGACTGTTTTATTCATTTCCGAGCCATTCCAAGAGCATCATCAGAAGAGCAATGAGAACTTCAAGAAAGATAAGAGATCTTCAAAAGGGTTCACAAAAATTGTAGGAAGAACTTCCGAGGAATGAAAGAAAATACCGAGCATTTCGGGGAAGTTTCATGAACGGGAATTTCTGTAAAATTTCCGGCATTTCAGCTTGAACTTCAAGGTGGAACATTGATACAAATGGTATAAAACACAAGTAATTTTTTCCAGAAATAAGTTAAGGTAACATATTGCAAAGTGTGTTACTTGATAGTGGACGAATGTAGTGTTGCATTGAAATTCTTTAAATCGTGTTATATTTAAATTTTCCCTCATTTCACATCCGTTGAACCATTTTGAACGGCCATCCCGTAGCGATTATATCACATCATTGCTAATAATGTATATATCTATATCTGTTCCGGTACCATAAAGTCGACAAAGTAAAAGTATAAGGAGAGACGCAAAATGAAGCACATGCGATACGACAATGGAGTGATGCTCATTAAGAAAATACACGAAGATGCGCAATGTCAATTTTCCGGTTTTATAAGACGTAACTAGGAACTCAAGATCATCGTCAATATATTGTGAATCACAGCAGAAATGACATGGGAGACTTTCAGAAACTAGCAGTGATGCAGAGAAGGGCAACGAGCTCACAAATAGACACGACAATTGAACAGAGAGTGCAGAAACAGCGACAGTTGGTGAGATCATTTTAAATTATTGCACATATTTATACAAACATTTCTTATACTAAATACGCACCAGAATTTAAATGAAAAAGTATTCTTTTTATGTTTGAAGTGTGAATGCATTACATGGACTTATTGCACATGAAGCCGACCCCAGAATGTACGTGTATGAAAAAGCATTCTTGAAATGGGCCGTTGGATGTACAGTAGAGCTATCACTTTCCATCGCCAGGGTTAAAACTGTTTACATCTATGTATGAAAATAGGTGCAAACCATTTTCTTCCATAAAAGCACTGCCGGCCAGTAGGAAATGGATTGTAGACACACACAGACTCATAATTATAACCTTTTTTGACATCCTTCCTCCAGATTAAGAAGGCATATTCGTTTCCTTATCTGATTTCAGGCGTATTTTCTACAACTACAAACAAGCGGAGATGATTATTCCAGAATAAAAAACAAACAGACCACAACTAAGTAATACTTAAAAGGAACAACAAATACACCCATTGATTACACCAAAGTTAAATAAACTCACGAAAATAAAAACATTAAATTGAAGCACCAAATTAAATAAACATAAAAGAAAAAAAAAATAATCGCATAACTAAGTGACACACATTCTTTCTAGCCAAAGACAAAAACTAAACTGATCAGGTTTCAGAATGAAAGAACAAATTTTTACCCAAAGACCCGTACTGGGGCATGACAACTTGCTGATTAGCAACCACCCACAACGACGCGGAATGGAGCCTTCTGCTCCACGAGGAACCTGAACTGCGACGATTAGTTTTTGAAACCGTTGACAAGTGTTGAAGAAGCAGCTGACACAGATTTTTGAATGTTAGCTCGTGAAGCTGTTTGATTTTATTTTTCAGAACGTATTTTATTCCGTGATTGATCGAAGAAGATGCAAGTATTTTATCTCTAAAAACAAAAAAAAAAGAATAACTGGAATTGTTGAACTATAGCAACAGAAGAATTTCCATGGATCGCTATAAATGTGGTAACGTTGAATTGAGTAGTTGACTAGAATTGATACGAAACATTTAGATTTTATAAATAGACAAAATGGGGCAATATTATTCTAATATATCTTTTATACACAATCATACGGGAGAAGAAGAAAAAAATGACCGATAAAGCGTTAAACTCACACAGTTAAAATAAAAAACAAAATGCTTTTAAAACTAAAGTGTACAACATTTTACATATGAACAAGCAAACTGAATGTAATCAACCAAAGAACTACTTAAATAAACAGCACCCTTCAAGAAGATCATTTAAAATTTAGATTTGTTTTTCATTTTCGTTCCAATTTGAAGTAGCAAAACAAAACAACAACACAAATGTAGCCTAAGCTAAAATTGTAGGTGCATGCAGTTTAAACCAAAGGAAAGTTTATCGCTCAACTTAAAACTCTGAGGCATGGAAACGAAATTAACATTTGACACTAAAAAAAAAACCACTTCAGCCCACGACTGACTGTAAAAGAAAGCTTAAAAATCAAACCATAACTTCTAGATGTTAACGAAAGAATGTTTTATTTGCTCTTTAAAAAACATGATTGCTTAAATAAAAACCCGTAAGATCGACACCTGGCAGAAGGGTAATAAGATCTGTAATCGTAAAAAACAGAAATCAGATATAGAACACTGCTTGGGTGACTGCGGAAATCGGAAGGTGAAGGGTGTTGAAAGAAATTAAACCGAATCGAAGGAAACAAGCACTCAAATCCGGTGGGCAAGTCCTACCGGCAATCGAGACTGATTTGACTCTTTTCGTTTTTGTTTTTACGAACGGTGCTGATGGCAATCGCAGATTGCCTTGATTTTATTCGATTACCTAAATTTGTCATACCGAGAGTGAGGTGGAAAAGCAAGCTGCTCTGCGGGCACGGTGGGTTCAAGGTAAGTTTTTGCCGTCAAAATCACGCAGAAACCATCGAATCAAATGTATGTCAAATTCTTTCCGTAAAACTCACGTTCACAGGATTTAACGACCGCCTCAGCTTCCCGGAAAATCCCACCCCGTGCGGTTCAAATCGAATCACAACCCACACACGCACACCTGTTCCATCGACTGATGACGGGCGGGAGTAACTGAATCATTTTATTACCTCTATTACGCATTGTCGTTACATCATAAATGGGACGCGACGGATCAACCTCCTGCCTAAAGGCCACCGTCCCCAGGCAATCCGGAATAGGAGCAAGCAACGGACGCGAACCGTTGCCTCCGGTGCTACCCTCCGAATAACAATAAAATTATGACTATTTGCTTGTGATGACGACATGTGTGAGCTGCTAACCAGGTCCACCAGGCCTTTCGGTCGCTGATGGGCGTGCTTTCGAGAAGGGTTGCCACGGGGTAGAATGATTACGTTCTCCGTGTGTTGTTCTTTATGGGAAAAAAGGTCTCTCTGTAGCTACGCTCAGGGGAATAAAAGTGGCAGGATGAATAGAATAGGGATTTGGTGTTTGACACGTCTTAGTTTTATGGACTACAACAAAAGTTTTAGTATTTATTTCCTTAGGGATCTTTAGGTTTTGAAGAAATATTCAAGTAACCGTCCAAGGTGAAAAATCATTCTGAATTAAGCACTGACAAAAATAATTAGCTTTTAATCCTTAGTTTGATCCTTATATTGACTTGAACCAGAATCGATCAAAATTGATAGGCCCTACATCGTTTAAATGTAGATATAGGGCTACGTCAAAAGCATGAAAATGTGTCCATCGTTGTCGACTTGCTTTTGTGGCACCTCGAGTAACACACATTGCTCAGTGAGCAAGATCCAAGGGTTAAGTCACTCAGCACATTGTGCCGAAATTAGATTCAGCACACCTTCGGCACAATCTCGTAGGCATTGGATTGTTGTAAATTAAATTGGGAACACTGCTGGACAGCTGTCATTGAAGTTGTTCACAACATTACGCGCTGTTTGACTGTAGATTCAGGAACATCCTCTAATTGAATATATCAGAGGAACTCAGACCAGCAGTTCACTTCTCTGTTCACTTATAGATCTAAATATGAAATGTAGGTTCTAGAATGGGCTCAAGAGAAAGAGGCAGTTAATCAGACACAATTAGTACCCTTAATTGAAATAATGCTGCAAATCACACAAAACAAACTACAGATGTCATATTCATCATCCCCTATAGTCAGTCTTCAACAATGTTCCCCACCGGTTCCAACTCTTTCCGGCCGCTGATAGACCGTTACTTTTCACGTTCCGAAAGGCTAGGTTTCTGGTCTGCCTTCGAGGGCATTATAAAACCCTAAAACACAGGACTTTTAGTGTCCTATCAACGCAAAACACCAAAATTTCACACACCCGTCACTTCCCGCGTCATCTTTCCTTGCGATTTCAAACCGAAACATTCAAGGTGTCAGAAATACCGGGTTGCCGGATGAGTATTTAACAAACAATCGCAGCTTACTCTATGACCGGCACAATCGGCACACCAGCGGCACACTAACAAAAAAGATGACCCAAGATTGATGTGCGGAGTGACCTACCCCTTGGCAAGATCACTGTCATTTGCTTTCTCACTTTCGCATCACTGCAACATATACAGATGCAATGCATAAAAGCTGCTGTCAAGCAAATCAAGGAACAAAAATCGGAGGCTTCCGGCCTGCAACTCCAGGTGAGTATGATTGCGATTATTCGGTTCCTAAATTTCCTTCGGTTTCCAGCTACCGAATGGCCCCGGATTTATTTTAAAAACGTGCGTGGACTGAAGACTAAAACCGACTCGTTTTTTCTTGGCAGTTGCGGAGGCTGAATATGATTTGATCGTACTGACATCCGCGAACGCTTCCAACATCTCCGCTGATTCCGTACGACGGTACAGTAGCTTGCAGTCGATGGTGCCTTTTAAGTACCTGAGTACTCGCTTGAGATGCACCCAGTGCTCGTCGGTCGCACCACATTGAAATCCGGCGAAGAAGCTCACCGCCGCACAGATGTCCGGTCGCGAGGTGACCATAAGGTACATGAGGCACCCTACGAGTTCCCTATACGGCTTGTCTATAGCTTCCTCCTTGCTGCCTCTCATCAGCTTCAGGTGCGGTTCCATCGGAATGGGTGACGGTTTGCATCGGTCCATCCCGAACCGCTCGAGAACGCCCTGGATGTAGGCCTTCTGATCGATGGATATCGTTCCCGCTCGCTTGTCTCGCTGGATGTTCAACCCGAGAAAACTCTTCACATCTTGCAGATCCGTCATCTCGATTTCCGTTGAAAATCGTCGCTTAATTCCATCAATCGCCTTCAGTGAGTTGCTAACAATGAGGATATCATCCACATATATAACAACCAACACGATAACTCCATCACACGACCACTGGTACAGGCAGAAGTCATACTCGCTGCGTTTGAAACCCAGTGTGCACATGAAGTCGTGGAATCGCTGGTTCCAGTTCCGGGAAGATTGCTTCAGACCGTAAATGGCCCTTTTCAGTCTGCAAACGAGGTTCTTGCCCCTCTCAAACCCAGCGGGTTGACGCATAAAAATTTCCTCGTTAAGTGCACCGTTCAGGAAGGCGCACTTGACGTCCATTTGATGGACGTACCAGTCGTTTTGATTCGCCAAGGCCAGGATAATTCTTAGCGTCGCCATTTTCGCCACGGGAGAGTAGGTGTCGGTATAGTCAAACCCCGGTCGCTACGTGAAGCCACGGGCAACCAGCCTGGCTTTATACCGCTCCACCTCACCCTCGCTGTTCCGTTTCATTTTAAATACCCACTTGCTGTCAATCATTTTCTTGCCAGCGGGTAATTCAACAAGTTCCCAGGTATCATTCTTCTCGAGCGATTTCAGTTCTTCATTGATAGCACTTTTCCACGACGACCAGTCATCCCTCTTTTTGAGTTCACTCACGTCAGTTGGAATATTGTCAATAAACTCTTCCGCACTCGGAGCAAATGCACTTATGTTCATATCGTAGTCACTGTGCCAACTCGGAGGAACTACGTTCCTACCACTTCTTCTAACACTGCTGTCCACAATTGGATCGGCTGAGGTGCCACTCGCATTTGGCTCTTCATCGATATCATCGTCACCGTCCGTGAAAAAATGCTCGGAATCAACGTCTTCCAGTTCACTATCGATCACTTCCGATTCACTGTTTGCATCAGCTAGCTTTTCTTCGATAATCACTTCATCATTCTCGTAGCTCTTCTCGCTGGACTTCACCGTACATAGTCGTAGCTCGCTCTCATTGAAGACGACGTCACGGCCGACGAAAAGTTTGGTACCATTCCACAGCCGGTACCCGTTCGGGGCGTAACCAACAAAGCTTACCTTTTCGCTCTTGGAATCCAACTTTCTGCGCAGCTGCTTCGGGATGTGAACATAGCAATCGCTGCCGAAAACTCGCAAATGTGCGACATCCGGCTTGCGGCCGTTCCAGGCCTCGTACGGCGTCATGTTCTCCGCAACTGCAACACTGGGGCTCCTGTTCTTCTAGTACACAGCGGTGTACACAGCTCCGCCCCACAGGATCTTCGGAAGGCCGCTTGCTTGCAGCATCGCTCGAGCTTTTTCTGTGATGGTACGGTTGAGCCGCTGACTCACACCGTTTTGCTCCGGCGTATATGGCACAGTGGGTTCGAGCCGGATGCCCTTGCTGCGACAAAACTGTTTCATCGCTCGGCTGGTGTATTCTCCCCCATTATCCGTTCTGAGGCGAGAAATGTTCGTGCCGAAATGGGCACTGGCCATGGCTTCATAATCCTTCAGACACTCAAGCACATGATTCTTCGTTTTCATCAAATACACTACCGACACATGAGTGTAATCATCCGTGAAGGAAACGAAATATTCATTGCCATCCCACGTCACCGGCGTTATCTTCCCACACACGTCACTGTGTACGATCTCTAACGGACGCGTCGCTCGTTTCGCATCATTTCGCACTTTGAACGGCTCGCGGGTTTGCTTTGCGGTTATGCACGGTTCACACAGCAGCTTCTCGTTTTTGTTCTTCACACTCGCGATCTTCATACCTTCGACCATCCCTTTATTCACTAGCTTCACTAGGTTATCGTTCCCGAGGTGGCCGAATCGCTGGTGCCACAATTCGAGCTGCTTGCTAATTCTTCCCGTCATCAACGCACTGGGAGCCGCGTTCGCATTTGGCGCTTTCACACATTCAAAGTCCATACAGTAGAGACGGCCGTGTTGTCGTCCGGTAGCAACGATTTCGTTGTCGGCTTCTACCGTTACGCACCCACCGAAGAAAATCACTTTCTTTCCCGAGCTTTCGAGGCGCCGCAGCGACAACAAGTTCAGCGATAATTCCCGAATGTATAAAACGTCGTCGATGTTGATGTTTATATCGCACCCATCCACCACCGTGCAGGCGGTAATACCATAGAGGTAACTCTAAGACTAGTAGGTCCCGAAGAACATCATTATTATTTTTGGCTCACTCAGTACCAGAACAACGGTCCCAAGCAGTCCCAAGCTATTTCACTCACCCCTGCATGTTCTGCATGAATCCACACACCCCTGATGTTATCTGTCAAACTTTCATAGCGAATCAAAACAAACATAGTGTAGTAATAGAATTTCAACTAGAATAGGGTACGTTAATCGTTTGCTTGGGACCAATAGGCTACTAAAGTGGTGAGCCAATTTAAAATTGTTAGTTTCGTATTGATTGTTGGTAATACCATAGAGATAACTCTAAGACAAGTAGGTCCCGAAGAAACATGCTCCACTTTTTGGCTCACCTCTGGTACTATCTTCGGTGCCAAGCTTGTCGAATCACCCCTCGAAACATAGGAAAAACCAATAACCCCTCATTTTATCTGTCAAACTTTCATAGCGAATCAAAACAAACATTGCGTAGTACTAGAATTTCGACTAGAATAGGGTACGTTAATCGTTTGCTTGGGACCAATAGGCTACTAAAGTGGTGAGCCAATTTAAAATCGTTAGTTTCGTATTGATTGTTGGTAATACGACCCTTGAACCGCGCAACCATGTTCACCCCACTTTTTGCAGTTTGGATCACTACCGGCGGCTCAATTTTCACCAGAACATCGAAAAGTGCTTTGTTGTTCGACATGTGTTCCGATGCCCCACTGTCCAAATACCACTTGGAGTTCGACACCGCACTAGCCGCAACAACATCCGACCGATCGTCCGCCGCGACAAACGACACTGTTTTCGCATTCGCACCGACGTTCGCACTCTGTGCTGCACTTTTCTTTGCTTGCTTCTGGGGGGCTTGTTAATGTTCACTTTTGTTTGGACACTGAGCTTTTCTGTGCCCCGGCTGGCCACAGCCAAAACACTTGAACTTGGCTTTGCTCTTCCCAGCGAAAGCCGCTTCTTCTTCTTGCACCTCCTGCTGTTGTCTTCTTCTTTTCGTTTCTACATCCAAATACTTGCGCCGAACAAGATCCATCGTGAGCCTCTCAGAGACCGCCTCCATGGCGGTGGTTACTGC